TGCTCCGAAGGTGTGTGTGCCCCTCCACGGTTGCGGAAGTGGACAACAACAACAACAACAACAACTACTACTACTACTACTACCACTACTACTACTACTACTACTAGTGTTACTGACTACTACCACCACCCTGCTGTTGCTGACACCGCAGCGGCAGCAGCAACACCTGCCGCTGAAGAGTGGTAGTAGTAGTAGCTGTAGTAGTAGTAGTAGTAGTAGTAGTAGTAGTAGTAGTAGTAGTAGTTACTACTACTACTAAGTAGTAGTAGTAGTAGTAGTAGTAGTAGTAGTAGTAGTAGTAGTAGTGGCAATTCATACGCCGGTTTAAATTTGTACTACTTCAAAAGGTCCGGTGTGGTCGCGGGAAAGTCCTCTGCGCCAGGATTCTACCGGGGAAAAGGGTTTGAAGCTACGTCTCGGTGTTCATATCTCGTGAACGCTGCTACTCCTCTGTTCTGCATTACACCGTGAGACGACGACCAACACCACCGCGACCACCATGAGACCACGAAACAATCAGCTCGAAGGAGACCACCAGGAGATCAAGAGACCAACACAGACTCAAGCATACTAACTGCTGCAAGAGATCTGAATGATCTTCAGCACCCGCTCCTTGAAGAGATACTCCTCATAGCCTTGCTACAGTTTGCGCTTCCAAGCTGTTGCACGCTGCCGCCGCACAAAAACTGAACAAAACACTTGTAGAGCAATCTGAGTAAGACCCTGTCAACCAGGATCTGACTCCTCGTCCTCCTGGCAGGCCGCCGACAAGGAGATCGCATCGCGCACGGGACCTCAGGAGCGCACTTTGAGTGCATTTTGGCTACTGCTACGAGTGATGCCCACGGCGTCAAAGCACGAGCATCGAGCCGGAATATGTCTCGTTGTGCATTGACAGATCTCGCCTTAAGCGATATCGCGCCATCTCGAAGCTAAACGTGCACGGGCGCAACAAGGAAAAGAAGGCGAAGCATCTCTGAGAAGCTGACATGCGGTTTAGACAGGCATCGATCTCACCGGTAGCCAGGAACACGGTGCTCTTGTGCCAATACTCATTGGCATGCCTTGCAAATTTTACGGTCCTGTGCAACTTGTCAAGTCCTATGCCCTATGCTGTGTGTCAATGCCACGGGGCTGGTAGTAGCCGTACCAGGTCTCATAACCTTCGAGGCTTTTTGCAAACGGCTGCACATCTCTCCTTCTCTGAGCGCAGGCGCAACCAGGCCTCGGCCCTTCGGTGAGTGTTCGGGAGTTGCCATGCCCGCATCCCACTTTCCGACCTGCCCAAAATCATGTGGCAATGCTGCTGGCCGTCGGAGACGGCGATTCTCCCGAGGTTCCAGCAATGTGCGTCCTGTAGCCTCCGAACAAGCTCGTTCTTCCTGAACTCTTGCATGACTCCAAAAGCCAGCTCGAGCCTCCATCCCGCATCTTCTCGGCAATGCCTCCCCATCCGGACTTGAAGCCCCCCCAAGTCCAGACTTGAAGCCCCCAAGTCCGGACTTGAACCTTCAAGTCCGGACTTGAAGCCCCCATGATTTCTTCTCTCAGTCGATTAGTGGGTCCGACAGCATGGAACCCAGCCTGTCATGTTTCTTGGGATACCGGCATATCCGCTCACAGGATCATTGTAGTTCCGGGAGGTGACTGCCGAGTTCACGGGATTCACATGCACCTGCACAAGGCGAAAGCTTGCTGGAGATGAATGTGGCGGTAATAGTGTTCCAGCTTTGTTCTTTGCAGACCAGCTGCGGCGAGACGACCAGATTGTATCGAGGATCGAGTCGGTGAGCAAATCTTGTACGTGTAGTGCCTCAGACAAACGGAGCTACCAGAACGTCTTGCTCCGCCTAACCGTGCCTCTCCAAAAGAATACCCTCATCGATCAAGGCATCCATGTTTGGCGTGTGCACCTCCACCTTGGCAGCTGCGATAAGAATCCAGCCCAACATGTAATGCAGTTAGTAATACATCATTTAGTTCTTCTACTGTACAATATACAACACATGACATACAACATATCATCTTCAGAGTTCTGCCTTGCCCTGCTGCTCCTCGGGAGTGGAAGCGGCATCCCGACGGTGCACCTGAGCAAAAGGCAGTGACCCGGGAGCTTGCACAAAACCTGTCCACTAACAGCTTCTTGGGCACGCCCATGTTGCCCCAGCCATAATCGTCTGCGAGAATGAACAGCACCTTGAATGAAGCTGGGTCATCTTCAGCACATGCTTGTTGCAGGGACCGATTTCATGTCAAGCCGCATGCGGCTTAGCTTGCGCCAGCAGCGGGCCGACGGCCAAGAGTGGCAGAACGAAGAAAGCCATGGCTGTGGAGATTGGAAGATAAAATGCGGAGCAGCTGCCGAGCCGAACACCAGGTGGGCAAAGCGAGGCAAGAAAGAATCGGCAGCTGCTGGTTGCATTTCACTCCCATGACGAAGCTAAGGCGTGTAACCTGATCGACATACTGCTTGGCGTATTCTAGCACGCGGTCGGCTTCTGCCTTCAGAATCTCCTGCCCGAGGAACAGGGTCTGCCCTGAACTCGAGTCTATAGCTTGGAAAACCCAGCCAGTCTTTGCAGATATTGTACGTTGCTTCTGGGCGTTGGGCTTCGCAAAAACCATGTTATGGATGATTTTGGTCTGGCTACGTTTTTGCATGAATGATTTGTCTATGTCTATGATTGTTTATGCTATTTGCATTGCGGTGTATGGTGCTCACTGCGTTTGCAAACGGGTCGTTTAGAACACGGTTTAACAAGTTGTTTAACCATCTTGTTGATTTGGGCGTATGACCGTATGAACTATTTGAACCTTTTCATGTTCCATGGCTATAGCGTGACTTGCAACATTTGCAGGATCTATACGGAAGGTGAGGGAGGAGATGCCCAAACACCCCAGTCTCCGAGAAAGGCCCCAAGCACCGCACCAGGAAAGAGTATGAAGAGACTCCGAAACAAAATTGTCGAAGCTCTTCATCCAGGGGCACCCCAATTGCACCCAGTTTGGGGAGCGCGTAAAGAACATGAAAAAAAACATCTGTTTTCTAAATCGAATTCGGGATAATTTTGGTTAGGATTATAATGCAGGCCTCCAAGACCATGGTTTCAGAAATTGAATCTGCACGGCTCCCAGATATGCTAGACCCTTCCATGCAAACGAGCCCTGCTAGCTCCAACCCCCAACCCTAAGAACTGGCTATGTAGTAAAAGCAATGGAAACTAAAGAAACATAGCAAAGCCATGAACTGCAACAAAAATGGACAACACAAGTGCTAAAAATAGCCATTCATAGAAGAACATAAGCCCTTGTTCGAAAAACATTGGGCATATCGGGGCTGGTATAGGATCTGGATACCACAACATTCGAGGTGATTGAGCTGACCCGTGCTCGCCGAGCTCAGCCGCGGAACCCTGCGTCCTGCTGTGCTCCCGTCTCTGGCAACTCGTTGTCCAAGACCTGCCCGCAGCCGAAGCATCGAAGTGGAAGAGATCTTCATGTCAGGCACTTTCCATTCCCTCTCCTCATTCAGCTCCTTGTTCAGAGCTTCGAAGGTATCCGGGCCTGGGATGTAGTGTCTTCTCGCTGTCAGCTTCGGGAAGCGCTGAGCTCTGCTGCACTGTTCCGAGCTTCAGACTTGCGTTGGAGAGTTTCTGCAAGACCCGGAGGACGGAGAGAGTCGCCTGCTCGAACGTGCATCGCAGAGGTGTTGGTTATCCAAGACCACATCCGACCTGCTGCTGGCGCAGCACTTTTGCTTCATCCTCGCGGCGCTTCCTGCAGTCCGAACACAAGCGACATGGATGCAACTGAGACATTCGCAAAAGAGCTGCAGGAAGCACTGGCCGGACTGTCGAGTGTCGAGACATGGTGAAGCTTCAATCGGCAGACTGAGGGCGGCGCTGATCTTCCTCGGCACGCCGCTTCTCCTCGTCGGCTCGACGAACAATCTCCTCCTGAGCGAGTAGCAGAGCACACCCATCTATGGTCTCAGGAGTCGTTTGGCCACGCTGGTCCTCATGCCGCTTCCACTCTTCTCGGCGCTTCCTCTCCATCTCCTCTAGAGTGGTGAGCGACTGAACAGTCCACGTCACTCCGCTGGTCAACCCACTTGTGCCTCTTTTTGTTGCTCCTCCTCCACCTTTCGGCGCTCCTGAAGACTCTCACTACATTGCTTGCCCTGCTCCCAGAATTCTGCATCCGGCAGGCCTCGTCCTGCTTCCTCTCCTCTGCAAGTCTTGCCTAAACAGCTTGAAGCACCGCATGATCTCAACCATTCCCATCCCCCGCTCCAGGTGCCCGGGTGCCCGGCTCTCCTCTCCTCGTCTGCTTTCTTGCGCTCCTGCGAGGAAACAGAGAGAGAGAGAGAGAAGAGCTTAGAAAAGAAGAAGAAGAAGAAAGCGACACTCGGGTGAAACCGTGGCTCTGTGTGGCTTTTGGCAGAGGCCGACTCGCAGCTCTTGCAGCGTTGTTGGCCTCCTCCTCGCGGCGCCGCTTCTCGTCGCGGCGTCGTTGGAGCTCCTCCTCCCGCCGGCGCATATCCTGAAAGCAGTGAGACACAACGAGCTCCAAAGCTTCGGAGGATCTCAGAGGCCTCCTCCTTCTTTCGCTTTTCTTCTTCTCGTTTTATTCGTTCCTGCAGTGATGTGCATGCCTTTGACCGCGTCCACAATCCACGCAAAACCGAGCCGAGCACCTGCTCTTGCCTCCGCTTTGTTTCGGCGTCGTCTTCTTTCCGCCTGGTGGCAAAAATGCCAGAATCGGACGGCTGCAACCTTCTGAAGATTTCCGAAGGAGCACATCAGCCTGTCATCGTGACGTCTGCGTTCTTCCTCCTGTTTGCCTCCGGGTCGAACACCGTCCCCTCCCGGCGCTTTGGACCCTAAACGAATCCGAAACTCGCTTTGGGGCCCCCGGCGACGGCGCTCCTCTTCACCTCGGCGGCGGTAGTCTTCGTCCGGGCGACGATTCCCAGACTCCTCCTCCTCGGATGCTCGGCTGACGTGTTCGATAAACATTCTATATTGCACATCTCATCTCATTCTATCTCAATCATCTCCTCCCGCCGTCGCTTGTTTGCGCGGTGGTCGGCCTGCATTTAAATCATGTCTAAGACTTTGGGAGTGTTGATGCGTGCCGTTTCTTCATATCACATGCTGCAATATAGTGCAAGAGTTGAAAATATCATTTACCGACGGTCAGCCGATCACCATGCCAGAGCCTCTTCCTCGCGACCGGGTCGGCGACGATCCGCTGGCCTAAAGCGGGCAAACGGGACAAAGGTGTCAAATGTTCACACAACTCGACATTAAGCACTCAAGCGCCACGAGCTCAGTTAACTCACCGAGTCATTAGCTCGTCACGACGCTCGCGGTCACGACGATCACCGTCTCGCTCCCGTCTGTCACCTCTATCTCGCTCTGTCCGATTCTCGGTTCTATCCTTGGCTTCAACTCGCACATGACACCCTTATCAAGAACTTGATGCACCGTGTGGTCGCTGAGTTCCATTCATCACGGTCACGCTCTTCACGGTCTCGGCGACCTCACCATCGAATGACAGTGATTTGCAGCTCTTTGTATTGTATGCTGGCAATTCGCGCACTAACCCGATTCCATCCCCGCAGTGAAGCCCAAACAACAGAGCTCTGCACCGCGTCTATCATCACGGTCATCCTAAGATGCCCCCATCTTTGGTGGACAGCTGCCACAGCTTCACACAGCTTCGCGATCCCGAAAACTCTGCTGTGCAAAACGAGCGTCCTTGTCCGCGGGCACTGGCCTTGCCGCACAGGGCTTTGATCAGCTTGCCCGGAAAGCTTGGTATGGAAGGTAGCAGTGATGAAATAGAAGCAGCTTTTTCCAGCGCAGCGAGCTTAAAAATGTCGCAGTAGGGGACATATGTCGTTTTGCGCAGTAGGGCATTACATCCTGAATCACATGTGGCGACGACGCCAAAAGAAAAAACATGGCCACTGCCATTCGAGCTATGTTTCAAAGTTTGGCCGGAACCTCCTTGTTTTCCTTGTCGACGAACGCAGAATCATGAAATCGGCTAGTCATTGCCGGACTACCTCCAATGGCAGGCACTGAGAGACCATTTGTGCGGCCCTTACGGGCTCAGGCACGGGTAGGCTTCCTGAGCGAGCTAAACGGAACAGACCCACGTCACAAACTGAACCGAAGGCTTCTTGCGAACAGGTGTCGTGTTAGCAGCAGCAACTTCCTGTACGTAATCCTGCAACAAGCTAGAGAACGCTAGAGAGTGAGCATGTGCGATGGGCTTCAGCTTTAGCGACTTCCGGGGCAGAACCTGCATCTTCTGGAAGAACTCCTCGCCGGCCTCTTTTCGGATTTCTGCCCCGGCATCCGTGCCAATGGCAACAGCATCTGACCTGAGCGAAGCGAAAACCAGAGTCGTCTGCCGAGCTCGGTCCCTCCTAGACGAATCGGCTTAGCGCTTCCCATGATCTGCAGCTCATGGACACTGCTCCCTCGCGCTCGACACGGTAGATGGTCTGCCCGTCCTCGCAACGTTGCCAGCAGGACGTGGTCCACCGAAAACACAATGGAAACTTGTTGTCAAATTATGCAGAATTGGCGCTGGCTTCCCCGACTGGGCAACTGGTTGCACGAACCCTGTCCGGCGATGCTACGAGACCTTTCAGCACCATCTGCCCGTCGATTACCCTCGCCTGACCTGCAGGGTAAACAAAACTACTGTGCTCGCATGTTCCTTAATTTGCATCACCCGATGCGACATCGAACACTTCTCCCAAGCTCGTACAGCTGCGATGATACGAGAAAGTCATGGAGTCATGCTCTGCAGGATCGTGCCTGCAATCGGAGTCTTGCAGTTGCCATCCAATGCCGCCAGGAATGCTCGCTCGCAAGTGACGGCCTGACGACCCCTCCGCTACGATGCTGTGAACCAGACCCGGATCCACTAAACAGGCTACCAGTACGTTTTCAGGCACAGATCGCGCCTGGAACGTGTCTGCATGAGACAAAGGCTTCAGGTAGTTGAGGACCCGGTCGTCGTCCGAGCGGCACTGGAAGCTGATTGCACCTGCAACATCATGCAAGCTACTGCAGTCTTCACTCAGCAGATCCGAATCACGCCTTGTGCAATGGCGGGCAGCATCTCATCCCACTCAAGGATTTTGGTGGCATGCTCCTGGCGGCAGATTTCATGGCAACTGACTCGTGTAGAACTGCTGTGCTGGAGGACAGCTTGCACGGTGTCCTCCATGCTCATCCTCTTGAGGCCAGCATACGCCAGGAATGTGCCTTTAACGTCTCCGCCCTGCAACTTTCTCAGCCTCTCAAACAGAGCACAAACATTTAATAAGCATTTGCACATCTGCATGGCAACTCTGCCAAAGCCTCGTCTGCACATTGCCCCGGAAGTTTACACACTTCACGTTTGGATTTTTGCTATAGATCTGAGCTTGTCGTCGAAGTGAAGCGGTGCCAATGAGACTGCCATCCGGAAACTCTTCAATGCACGTGATAGCTGGATCGCCGCTGATCAGAACATCCCTCGTGTCCTGTGGTTCCAGTTCATCTGGCAAAGAGTGTGACAAGAAAAAATGGCAGGAAGGACTCTGCGAGACGAGTACGACTGCGAGCCCTTTGTCCTCTCTAGGAAGCATTGTGCAAAGCTCTGTGTCCGGAATCAGCTCGGTGGGAACGTCCTTGGTGGAGTGCACACAGAAGTCGACCTCCTTGGAGGCGAGCGCGACGTCCAGCTCGCGTGTGAAGAGACCCTTGCCACCGATCTCTGCCAAGGAAATCTCCAGGCGCTGGTCCCCGGTGGTTGAGATGATCCGCACCTCCACTGCCTCATCTGGGGCCAGTTCCTCGAAGGCCTGCGCATCCACACGTCCCGGTTCCAGCGACCCCAAGCCCAAGCCGTGCAGACACAAGCACACGACATCTCCCATGCCTCCCCCAAACGTCGCTTGGCTTCGTATGCCTGGGCCAAAGCCAGCGGTGAGCCTCGTGTGCCCAGCGTCAGCAGGGGACCTGTCAGAGGCTTCACACCCCGAAAGCCGAAAACGCTGTAAAACCGAAATGCCATGGAACCGCCTTCGGCATGGCGGGCCACGGAGCGCCGAGAGCGCCTCGTCGCTGCGCCCACCATGACGCCACCAACCAAAGTGCAGGCCACTGGCGTGAGGGCGCCTGCACAAAGAAACCGATACGACACTGCAAAGATCTGCAAGAATATACAGCATCTCACAGTCCCGCAGTCCTCCTTGTGCTGCCGGCCGAGAGTGGTGGGCATGTGTGGCTGAGAGCGTGCGATCAGCCATCGTCTCCGCCCCCCGCATCACGGCGAATCCATTGCTTTTGCTGTGGGGGGCAATGGTCCAAACCAAAGCTCCACAGCACCCAGCAGCCGCTACTTTCATGGCGCTCGGGCGGCTTGCCATGGCAACTGCTCTATCTACGGCGAAGCCGTCAAAACTTGGGCACGAGCCACTTCGAGACAGGCAAGACATCGAAGCATGCTGTTTTTCGACGCTTGCTGATTCACTCAGGTTGTCAATGGGTAGCACGCTGAGCGCAAGGCGCTCTAGGCTTCTCCATGATGCTCTGCATCTTGCGCTGGAACTCTTCCTCGCGCCGCCTTCCTAAGTCGTGCTACCAGCTCCGAGTGCAATCTGTCTCTGCAACAAGCTCATGTGGCTTCTGCAGGCGTGAGAGTCACTTCAAATAAGCAAAAGTTCGTTTCAACACACAGCCACCCAGAAGCGCCCTTGACTGGCAAACTTCCGTCGCCAGCAATCCGGTGCAACACCGTGAGGAACTAGATGGACCATCCATGAACCTTCCTGAGGCCTGCACTCTCCTCTGCCCTCCTTTTCAACTCCTCTACATGCCGCTGCCTTGCTTCAGGCGGCCATGAGCAGATCACTTGCATCCATCTGTCTCTCTCAGATTGGGGTGCGGACTCCTCCTCAGCCTCACGGGCAACGAGGTCCTTCACCTCCTGCAATCAACTAACGGACGGCAGCCAGTATGAGAGCGGTTGAACAACACCCTGCCAGTCCTGAATCTGTCTGCCCACCTGTCTCTGCGGTGCCTCCTTCGAAGCGCATCTACAGTGTTTCAGGAACCTCATGCACTGTCACACAGATGCTCTGGACGGGACATGGCACATGAACATAGCACTGGGTCTCTCCTCACGCCGATCACCGGGCTCATCCCGCCGGGCTTCCCTGCGGTCATCTCTTCGATCGTCCCTACGATCCTCCCGTCGATCGTCACGGCGATCATCCCGACGCTCGTCGCGTCGCTCATCGCGTCGCTCATCACGGCGATCTTCGCGGCGATCTTCCCGACGATCTTCTCGGCGATCTTCCCGACGATCTTCCCGACGATCATCACGCCGATCTTCACGACGATCATCAAGCCTATGGATAAATCACAGCGCTGTCGTCCAATGTCACAGGAGCATGGCATGAGCCTGCCTCTCTGGCCTATCTTCTCGTCGTTCGTCGCGCCTCCTCAGACTCGACATCCCAGAAGCATTCCTTTCGCGCCTTCTGCCTGCTGGATCCTGCTGGGCTCCGTGCTCTGCCGGCTCTCCGCGCCGCGCAGGTGTAGGGGCCTCCTCACGGCGACGCCTTGGCAATGCTTCGCCGTTCCGGCGACATGTTGAATTCCCTTCACTGGGATCCAGACTCCTCCTCCTCCTTCTTCTGCTGCTCCTCCCTCCGAGCTCGCTCTTGCCGTTCTTGCCGTCGACGGTTGTATGCCTTGGCAATGCACCGGGACCACACCTGCTTCAGCCTGTTTTGGGAATCTTGGCCACCAACGTCAACGAAGTAGGCATGCGAGTTGCTGGTAGCTGGTGCCTAGATATGCTTACAGCCACATCACTCGCACGAAGAGGACCATCATTCCCGAGTATGCAGCAATGCTCGGCTCCTCTTTGGGTGGCTGCGAGCCTGCAATCGGATCCGGCAAGGTGCAAGAAGTGCAAAGCTTCAGTCTGAGCGTAACACTTTCCTTCTGGCCACGCCTCAGTAGGCGGATCGAGCAAAGTCAGGGCAACGCTTAACTGACAGTTCCTGATAAGTCGTTCAAGCTGTCTGAGCTTCCTGCTCATCCCTAGCCCTAGATTGAAGCCGTGGTCGGGAGGTGGGGGGCCTTGGAACTAAACGTTGACACCGCGATGCTCTTGGACTTTCTTGGCACGGGACTCTTCCTCCTGAGCCCGTCTCTGCCCTGCAAACACTGAAAGCGCAGTTAAGTCGATCGGATCGAATCCTCCCCCACCCCCCGGTGCTCTCTGGTGCTGCCCTTCTGCCGCGGCCTTCCGCAGGTTGCTCAGCTTGCTCAGGCGGCCTTTTCGCTGCCTGACGGGTGCAAATGAAGCCGCGACCAAAGCTTGCATCAAATGCAACGACTACACGTGAGCGAAACAGCAGCAGCAGTAGCAGTTGCAGCGCGACCAACACACAAATCTTGCGCAGGACGATCTGCTTGCGGCTTTGCACCAAATTTTACATGTACATATACATATGTAGGATAAGTAGGACAATCATTAAGGCATGAGCAGCTTAAGGAAAAACTTCAAATTGAGCATGTGTATGAAGATAGATGTATGTATATGTGCGTATGTGTATATATATATATATACATATACATGACATGTGTATGCTTACTTGTTTACTCCTTAAATATTTAAATGTTTTGTATCGCTCACGCCTCTAGTTGCCATGCCTAACCGCCTAGTTTTGCTGTCGAGTGTTCTCCGACTAGATGAGATTCGTCAAGTTTATCTAAACCCTAATGTTGGATTTCAATCTTGTTTCTGTGTTAGCGAAGGTGCAGTTGCTTTTGCATCGGTGACTCCATCTGAACCAGGCGGGTTGTGCTCTTGTAGCAATGCTCTTCACCCTGGCTTTTCTTTTTTCGGTTCTGTTTACATGATACGTGTAGAGTCTACCAGCCTAACAGTATAAAATGACTGTGAATGAACATGTCATGTGGCCACCGGGGTTTGTAGCCGTTTACCGGGCCTCCCTCGTACGGCTCCGCGCTGCAGAGGGGCTATGCTCTCCTGTCAGGCCCAGCGATAGTCAGCATCCATAACAATGCTAAACATCACACCAAACCCCTTTTATGCCGTCCGTGCGAGACCTGCAGGAGGAGGCGACGGTGCTGAACCTTAGCTGCAGTCGGATGGCAACAACTGAAGCTGGACTCCCACAAATATAGATGAACGTTAAACCTTGGGCTTGAACGCATGGCAGAGACGGTGAAGCTGGGGTCGATATCCCCGTCATGGGGGACATTCCACTCCGAGGCAGGCGGAGTGGAGGCCGTTCGGCTCGGGTGATAGGCCCAGACCTGCACAAGAAGCCGCAGAAAGCCCACCACGGGCCGTGCTAGCACTTCTGAGTCAGGGCCTGGTCACCTCCCACGTTCGGACCAAACCACCAGCCACAAAGCTCCGGACCTAAGCCGAAAGAAGCAAGCAGCACCTGTCGTGAACAGTCGTCACTGCGGCGGCTGCCGTCCCGCTCATCCCAGAAATAGATCAGGACATCTAGCCCTGACAACAGGCGGCACGGAATCAGGTAAACCCGGGCAGACAGGTCCACTGCTTGATGGCCTCTAGACTTTTCCCTTTTCTTGTACACCACCTTCCCGTGGTTGAGGCTGTCTGGCATGTAGATACCAGCCTCAGAACAGCTCAGTGAAGATGCGGGATGTCGGCACAAGGAACTGCTCGATGTTCGACAAATGTTGAGCTTCTGCTTCTTACCACATCACGACAGCCAGCCTGTCGCTAAGAAGGATAATGCTGCCAGAATTTGACCAGGCAGCAATGATCGCGCTGATGGTCTCGTTCTGACAGCCACTCACAGTCAAAGGTGGAGCAACCACCTGCGCCCGACAGGAACTGCTAATGAAAGACAAAGCAAACAGGATCACAAGAGACGCAAGCAAAAACAAAAGAACAAAGAAACGAAGCGCCAAACAATATTGGCGGTGGTAGTAGCAGTCGTCGTCGTAGTGGCAGTGGTAGTGGTAGTTGCAGCAGTAGTGGCTGTGGCTGTGACAATGGTAGTTGTACTGGTGTAAGTAGTGGTAGTAGCAGGACAGTAGTAGGACAGTAGCAGGGCAATAGTGAAAGTCGTAGTCGTTAGAGTAGCAGCAGCAGGCCTAGCCGAAGTAGTAGTAGTAGTAGTAGTAGTAGAAGAAGTAGTAGTAGTAGTTGTTGTAGCAGCAGCAGCAGTAGCAGTAGTGGTAGAAGTAGTAGTAGTGGTAGTACTAGTA